TAGACTGCATCCAAACAGTTTTAGAGTGCATCAAAACATGTTTAGAGTGAATCGAAACATTTTTAGAGTGCGTAGAAGCATATTTAAAGTGCGTCGAAACATGTTTTGAGTGCGTCCAATCATGTTTAGAGTGCATTAAAACATTTTTAGAATATGTTGAAACATGTTTAGAGTTCGTCTAAACATGTTTAGAGTGCATTAAAACATTTTTAGAGTACGTTGTAACATGTTTAGAGTTCGTCTAAACATGTTTAGAGAGCATTAAAACATTTTTAGAGCGCGTAAAACATTTTTAGGATTTGTTGTGAGTTCGCAGGGATTACGTGTCGATGAAGAATAGATCAGGGCAATCCGAGAATGGCCAACTCCTACAACTGTCGGACATGTTAGAAGCTTCCATGGATTGGCTAGCTTCTACCGACGATTTGTTCGTGATTTTAGCAGCCTCGCAGCCCCTCTCACGTCGATCATCAAGAAAGATAAACCATTCGAGTGGGGAGACGCGCAAGAGAAGGCATTCAACACGCTAAAGGAACAGCTCACAAGTGCACCCGTCTTAGTCCTTCCCGACTTTGACAAGGTATTTGAAATTGAATGTGATGCATCCGGTGTGGGTATTGGAGCTGTTTTGATGCAGGAAAAACGACCCGTGGCGTTCTTTAGCGAGAAGCTAAATGGAGCAACACTCAACTATCCAACTTATGACAAGGAGCTTTATTCCTTGGTGCGTGCACTGCAAACGTGGCAACATTACCTCTTGGCGAAGGAGTTCATCATACATACAGACCATGAAACGCTCAAGTACCTCAAGGGACAGACGACACTCAAGAAGCGACATGCGAGATGGATGGAGTATATTGAGACCTTCCCGTACGTAATTAAGTACAAGAAGGGCAAAGACAATGTCGTTGCTGATGCCTTGTCAAGGAGGCATGCACTCATCTCAACCATGGAGGCTAGGATGCTCGGATTCGAGCACATCAAAGGGCTGTACCGGGAAGATCCTGAACTTGGAGACATATATGAAGATTGCGAAAAAGGAGCACACGGAGCCTTTTACAAGAAGGGAGATTACTTATTTAGGGAACGACGGTTATGCATTCCTCAATGTTCTATGAGGGAACTTATATTGCAGGAAGCTCACGGTGGTGCACTCATGGGTCATTTTAGGGTAGACAAAACGCTTGCTGTGGTGAAGGAGCACTTCTTTTGGCCACACCTCAAACAGGATGTTGAACGATTTTGTGCTCGATGCGTTAAATGTCATCAAGCAAAATCTAAGACACACCCGCACGGTTTGTATCTTCCTCTCCCTATTCCATTTTGTCCTTGGACTGACTTATCTATGGACTTTGTTCTCGGGCTCCCTAGGATCCGAAACAAGGACTCTATTTTTGTTGTTGTGGACAGATTTTCGAAGATGGCTCACTTTATTCCGGTGCAAAGGCGAATGATGCTTCCCACATTGCCGAGTTATTCTTCAAGGAGGTGGTACGCTTGCATGGCTTACCAAGGAGCATTGTGTCGGATCGGGACCCATAGTTTCTGAGCTATTTTTGGAAGACATTATGGAGGAAGCTCGGAACAAAACTTGTTTTCTCAACGACATGCCACCCTCAACCCGATGGTCAAACCGAAGTTGTAAACCGAACATTGGCTGCACTACTTCGCGCAA